ACCCCATAAATCAGAAAAGTAATGTCTAAAATTTAAAATAAAAATCAAAAGGGAGCTCATGTCAATAGATATAAACAATTAACAAAAATTTCTTGCAAGTTGGTGAAAGCATTCTTGAGTTATTGTCCGAAAACTGGAAAATCCCCCTTTTTTTAATGAATAAAACCCCATAACTCGGAAACATAAAATCTAAAATTTATAAAAAACGAAAGGGAGCTCATGTCAATAGATATAAACAGTTCACCAAAGTTTTATGCAAATAGTTAAAGCGTTTTTAAGTTAATGTCCAACATGTTGACGACGGATGGACAGACGGACGGACAGGCGGACAACCGGTATACCATAATATGTCCCGTAAACGGGCGTATAAAACTTGGAGTTTAATTTGTAAAGATTCAATCTTAACAACTTCCAGTTATATGGTGTTTCGGTTAAGAATATCTTTAGTTAGGATTAACAAATGCATAATTGTATATTATTTTTATCAAATACTTTGATGTATGATAATCTTTTGTTCTACTATTTTGTCATAACTAGTTTAACACTTGAGAACATTATAAAAGCTCATCTATTGTGAAAGGAGTAGAAGGAGTTTCCCCTGAATTTATTTCTCACCATGATCATTCTCAAAATGTCTTTGTATCTTTACCTTAATGCTCAGCATCACAGCTCCATGCATACATATACTTTATAGTTCTAACAATAGTATGGCTTATGGTTTTATGGTTCTAACAATAGTATGGCTTATGCCAACTTGTAAATGCTGTAAGATAGATCATAACCTCTGTTTAGACAAATTTAGAGTATTTATTAAAAACAAATTGTACAAAAAAAACATTCTTATACAAAACTAAAATCCTGTCGGTGATAGAGCTTATTCAAATTTATATACACCGAATGTGGTTGACTTAATATTTTATAGTATCTTTGAAACATACCTAGTCAGAAAACTTAACATTGATCAATGACCTGTGAAAATAAGATCATGGTCTGGCAGATGAACCCTGGCATACATATGTAACAGTGGTTTGATTCCGCCAGTGTACTTTATCCGGAGGAAGAAAATCCCCAGTGATTTTTATCCACCAACAAAAAATCACTAGGGTTTTCTATCCAGGTCCAGTGTAAAACATCCACCAGTCATTATAAGGTTCTAAAAAGGTTTTTTTGAAGGGGAAATATATATAAAATGTGGCTTTATAGTTTTTAGTGTATTTGAAAATTGCATAGTTGATTTATGTAAAAAGTGGAGAGTTTTCATCCAAGGAATGTTCACACTAGTGTTTTTGAAACAGGAATGATTACACTCGTGATTTTGTACCGGAATGATTGCACTAGTTATTTTATACCCGGCGGGATTTATTACACTAGTACTTTAGATCCATTCATTGATGAAGTGATTAGTACTCATTTTGAACACACGATAACACAATAATGCTAATTAACGAATGAGATTTAAATAATTTTTCTATGCAAATCTATAAAATCATATGCTTTTAAATTGTCACTAATTGTAATATTTATATTTATTGGATTGCCGAAGTTTTTCTATGTATTTGCTTTTCGGTCGACTTGGATATTAAATCATATCTTCTATGTCAATATCAAAGAATGCTTCTGTAATTGAAACTTTATGTAAGAACAAATCTGCTCTTTAAATTTGGTTTGTATCAAGTTCAATGTCCTGATCATTGATAAAGTATTTTGAGTTATAAAAATATCCTTCTCATCATCATCAATATTATTTACTAGATTGACTCAGATTAATTAAACTGGTTCCTTGAAAATCATTATAATTTTAACCCATTTATTTATGAAAACAATAAACCGGTCTAATATAAACAAAACAACGATATCAAGATCGACGCTTTCACACTATTTACATCCAATATTCTCTAGTGAAAAACAGTTACTCGGAATAAATACACGGCGGAATGAAAGTACGCTTACACATACATGTACATCTTTAATGTATTATGTACATCAAATTGAGTTGAGCTATTACTTATACTTATAAGTTATAGTGTCTGAATAATGTACTTTTAAAATCAGGAAAAGTTTGAGTTGATTACTAAATGGTGAATTGAATACAAAAAATAAACAGAGGTGTTATGATTGCAAGTGAGACATCTATTCATAAACCAAAGGATACAATGTGGGGATCACTATTAGGTGAGCCCTGTCCCAGTGACATGAATACCTTGCATTGATTATGTATACCATATACAGTTATTCTTAATAAATGAAAAAAATCACATGATAAAAAACTAGGTTTTAAACCAGGAAATGAATTAAAGGACAAAGAACAAAAGTTCGACAGAAGTTTCAGACCCTAAGGCATCTGTAAACAATATTTGGATTATCCAGCACTTCTTTCTTCTGATATATATAAAAACATGTTTTGTCCTTGCATAAAATACATTTGGCACTTGGGTCAATATCCCAGGAACTCAAAAGTTTTGAGTAAACAAAAAATCTCTGTGTAGTGATATTGGACATGTTTCTATTTTGAACAAGTGACTGAGCTTATATATAACCATTTGTGTTGGTTTGGAAAGTAGAGGACCATAGAATAAATGTGTAAAAACTATGGAGTTATTAAATGCATTCAAAGTATTAAATTTTCAAAGAACTTATTGTGTGAAAAAATGGGATTTTTTACCATGAGGAGTCGCATCACGAAAGGATTTTCGGGGTATGCTAATTTACGGAAAAATGAATCTCACTTCCTACCCCAAAATTTAACCACATATGTGAAAATGTCTCAGCTTCGAAACGAGCCATCATACATATCCAAGTTTACGATATGGACTGAGCTACAGAAGAAAACGTTACCATTACTGCCTATGGGAAATCAATTGCGCATATTGACCCACTTGCACACAATGTTTGTTAATGTTCAAGTGTAATGATATTCTTATCCTATTAAAATACATTACTTCGTTGGTTAGAAGACATTTATGAATTATTCGTTATTTTGTCTTTAAAATCTAAAAGGCTTTTAAAAATATTTTTAATCATAGTTCCTTACTGTGTAATGTGCATTTACAAAAGGGGATAAAATGAAAACAGCAAAGAAACCCTTAGCTATTTGCAGTCGCTGAAACCCGAGTACTTGCCTGTTATGTTTGTTTTATTAGTTAAATGATAGATTAAAGAAGGAAGGGTTAAAGAGCCATGCGGCCCACGCCATATATTCATTTGCACGTCCCAAGTCAGAAACCTTGTCAGTTGTTCTCTCATGTTATTATGTCATTAACTTGGTTTGACTTGGCACTGGATCGAATTTACCATCTAAAAAACACAAGGCAACCAAGCAGGCAGAATACCACAGAGACTGGCATTTGGTTATAAGAGATGAGGTTAATTTCTAAACTAATGCCAATCATTTGTGCCATATAACTCTATAATTTGTTATCAAATACCTATGAAGAAATAACTTTCAAATTTGCATTGGATAAGGAGCTCATTATTTGCTTACAAGTCAGAATAATTAAGCCTTTTCAAACCAGTTCATACTGTTTTGGAAAAAAATATTTCCGTTTTAAAGGCGATGAGTTATATTCATCAAACCATCTTCTTCGTTATTCCATTTTTTTAACATCTGTATCTATTATAGCTTTTTTATCTTTAAGTTCTTGACTTTCAAATTTTGTTCAAAGCACTACAGACTTTTTCATTTTTTACCACTGCATACTTTCGCTACTTTAGTGTCCGTATGCTTTTGCGAAAGCCATTGAATAAATACTTCAGAAAACAACATCTTTTACGTCTAGAATGGTGTTCCATATTTTTATTTTTTTATTTTTGACAAGGACTTTTGATAGACACGCGGCAATATCGCTAACTCTTTTCAATAAAGTTAAAAAGGGTGTACACATTTTGCATGTGAAATAAATTGTTTTAATTATAAGATTGTGTTGTTAAAAATTCAAGTTATTGCCTGAAATAATGCGGTGCAAAAGAATTTGGAAAAACTAAGAGTATAAATGACGTCACACTAGATTTTGTGAATAAGCTGTTGTTCTAGAAACTGATTAGTATCTCATATACATGTATGTATTATGGACAAATCAATTTAGTATTATTACATATAAAGGCATAAATATAAGTTAAAATGTAAATCACAAGCTATTCTGTTGTTGTAGTTATCTCCCTCAACGTTTACCGCGGCCCATTCAGGATATTATCGGCAACTCAAACAGACACAATATTGAACCCCTTAAAAAATCACTTTGGACAATTTTGATTTTAAAAGACTTTTTATTTGTTAAATATGACAATGATATGATACCATAAAAGCAAAAATACTTTCTGTTGCAATTTGTTTAACTTTTGGACTAATATTCTTTAATGCGTCATCGTTCAATAACGTCATTTACACCGTCTGACGTCAGGTAATTCATTCATTAAAAGCAAAATGATGTGGGAGCTAGCTAGTGAGATTGGAACAGCCCAAACAATCCATGACCTTGGTGATCAGCTGACATATCAATATATTCACATTTTACCACGGGTATGTACTCAAAGCGTTTGAAGAACGTCATATTAGAATAGATTTTAACCATTCAAATGTGGATTCGTGGAATGCTGCTAATGACAAATTGTCCTTAAAGTTGGGAATCTTCCCTTAATTAAGAAGTGCTTCATCTGACAAAGGTGGAACTTACAGTATATTTAACAGCAAAGACATACATGTATAATACACTATTATTATACAGTATTATATGTCTCTTGTAACAGGTATACCAGGTCAATAAACACAGGGAAAACACTATTCGTTTTTTAGGAAAAAACAACACTTGATACTGCATTCTGATATACAATCTGTAACATTCTCTCAACGCATATGGCTCCACATTTCAATCAATATTTTCCAAATTAAGTTATAACTTATTGGGGGAGTGGGGGTCCAGGCAACACTAGATGTGAATCCTACAAGGCTACATTGAACTTTAAATTAATGCGAGCAAATTGTTGAAGGATTTTAATTGTCTCACCTGACACTGGAACAAACAATCAAACTGTGTGTCCCTGATTACTCTAATGTCAACATCTTAAAATGGTTTATCTGTAACAACTTCTACGATCTAAGGGAGATAATTGAGTCTGACAAGAACTTGAAGAAGACTTATAAATTAAAAAAAGAATGGTTTAGTTTTTTTTTATCAATAATTTAATTGAAATTAACAGCATATCACTTAATTAAAACATTCATTAGATAAATATAAAAAGATTACAAACACCAAAGAAAAAATATGGTTAAGAAATTAATATTTTCAGAACGCGTAACCGGCGTGTTCAAAAATACAAAGAAATACGCCCGGTATTTGGAAGTCAGAAAATAGGTCATTTGAGAACAACACAAAACGCATGGATATATCTGGTAAGTTAAATAGATTCATAATAGAAATCGAATGTTACTAGAATTACATAGTTATATCTTTTCGTAAAAATACAGATTCTTTTAACACAGTGACGCTTACATGGACCAATTTCGTTCTTTTTTTTATGATCTTGAAAAAAGGAACTTGTTTTGAAAATGGCGCAGGAAATCAATGAAACGTTTCTAACCAAAAGTTAGTCAAAATATTACCAACGTTTTGTATTTTCAACAAAATATAAGAAGAAAACCACTCTAGAAATATTTTGAATGAAGACATTTAAAGATATCTGTTTATGGTACGGTTACTAAAGAAACTATTCGCTATGGTTGGAAAGAAATATTTCCAGATGATAAGCATGATAAGGAAGTCTTCAGATGGAATTGGTCCATTTGGTAGGCATTATATGTAATTATTTGAATATCTAAGATTTTTATTTATAAATATTTTTATTTACCAATATGAATAACCTAAAGATAATATAATGAGGAAGATTAGTAAATAGTGATAGTTATTAACCTCTATTTGGGTGTGTTTGATTCTCTTTAGTTTACTCTGATCATTCATGGCTCCAATGAACCTTATGTAGCATTGTGGGAATATTAATGTTTTGGACTTTTCTTATTATTAAATTGCAATCAAAGACAGATCCAGAAAAAAAATCATTTTTTTCATCTCAAATATGTTTTGGTTGATTGATATTTACTTAATACTTCCAATAGCAATGAGGCTTACATGTACAATGTACATTTTTTTGTACATCATACATGTGATTCTTCAGGCTGGAGTCAAATTCTTAGGATTTTCAGCCCTCATCTATCCCTCTTGTTGATAAATCAAATCTTTTGTTTTTTTTTTAAATTTCATCCTCAAACATGTCAAAATTTGTCAGTCTTTTTTTTTTTTTTTTTTATTACAATTGATGTCAGTTTTTGTCTCGCCTTGACGGAGTCAAAAAGCGAGACATAGGTATGCTGTTTCTGGCATCGGTGACAGCGTCAACAATGTATTAGTTTGTGATTAAGTCTAGTTCATGGTGAACCACTAGTGGTAGGTCAATGATATTTGGTATGCAGTTGAATTAGCATTGGCACATCTCATTACCATGGAGATTGTTTAGCCATGTACCTTCAGTCATGGTTCATCGACCTAGAATATTTGCATAACTTAAATGTTAAAGTATTGCTATTTTAATTTCAACATTTGCATTATCAAAATTACAAAAAGGCGAGACATATCTCTGTGATAACAGTTTATTAATATCGATTTTGTGTCACTGATGAAGGTAATTTTTACCTGTAAATCCTAGAACTAATAGATAGTTATATAGCTTCACTTGATATCTTGGGTGTCAAACATGCAATCAATTAACTTTTTTTACCTAAGACTAACTGCAGTTATGTTATAAATGATGTATGTATTTGAAATCGGGGCCTCAGTGGCCGAGTGGTCTAAGTAGTTACTACTGTAATCACTAGCCAGTCAACACTGAGGTTGTGAGTTCGAACCCCTCTCGTGCAGGTGCACTCGACTCCAATCTTAATTGACTAGGATTGTCAGTTTTCCTATCGAAGGTCGATAGTTCCTTGCCACATAAATGGTAATTTTTCCTATGAATTTTTTTATGAAATTAACCATGTTAACAGCTGTTTTTTTTTTAAAGAGAAGTACATTTAATAACAGGAAGCTTTTTATGTTAGGGAGCAACCATTTAACTTAAAGGGGGAGGTGATGGTTTTTTGTCTGAGTCAGAACATTTTATTTTAGTTTTTCGACGCTATCAATCAAATTATTTTTTTCTGAATTTAACACTATATATATATAACATGTATAAGGTATGGGGAAAATCTGGATTCAGAATATTTTTTTTTTTTTCATCAAATTCGGGATCAGAATATTTTTTTAGGAAAAAACCATACCCCCCCTTGAAGTTAAATGATCGTTCCCTTATCATGCTTATTGCACTATCCTACAATGTATATCATAAAATTCAATCTCAGAAATTGTTATTGCACATTTTATGAGGAAGATAAAAGCAATAATAGATTTATAGGGCACTGTTCAGCCTTCAACAATGAGAAAAACTCATACTTTATAGTCAGCTATAAAAGAGCCCCACATGAAATATTAAAAAATGTGAAACAATTATAATGAGAAAGCTAATGGCTCAATTCATACAGTACAATTTATGAACCAACAATAACAACTGAATTACAGTTTACACATATTTGTGAACGCTCAAACCTCAGCCTATCCTGGGACAGTGGAGTTACATCACAATATAAGAAAATGTACTGATTATATTTCAACAATAATTCGTACATTGACAGTTTTGTTAATGTACAATGTATTGTTTGAAGTGTGCAACATCAGTAGACTAACATTATGATTTACACTATATACACATTGTACATGTACTTTACAATATTTTTATCCAACGCAATCATAAGTTTGAACGTTGTTTTCAATTTAGACTTATTTACTTTACAATATATATACTTTAAAAAAAATGCTATAATATCTTGATCAGAAGCTTTCCTTTTTTTTTTTTAAACTGGACAAGACCTGACAGCATTAAAGCTCAGACCAGGAATAGTATACATGAAATCCATGTAATTTTGTCAAGCATTATCAACATGAAGTAGTTCTTTACATTATATTTTTTAAAAGACAATACATTTTACTTGAGATGCACAAAAGAAAAAAGTATAAGTGATATATTTTTATTTATTAAAAGATTTCAAATGTCTTATTAATTTCACAACTAATAACATGTGCTCACTTAAGCTCCTCAGGAAAACAACATGATTCTGTTTGTTTTCACTCAAATAACTTTTTTAACTTATGATTTCATCATTTAAATATATTTTTGATAAACTAAACCATTTACTTAAATTATCTAGATGCAGAGCAGTTAAATTTGAGAAATAATTTCAAATAGATCGATCTAATTTCGGTGAAAAATAGTTGGATCACCCATCAGATATTTAAGCTAATTACTTGTGACAACAAATTATGGCACCTGTTGTGACCATTTATTAACTGGGTGTTATAAACGAATCATAGTCATTTCGTACCATAACCATTTCGTACCACCCATTTCGTACCATAACAAAAACCATTTCGTACCATAACCATTTTGTACCATGACCATTTCGTATCAATTGGAAGATTATAATGTATACCATATCGTACCATATGGAAGATTATAATGTATACCATTTCGTACCATATGGAAGATTATAATGTATACCATTTCGTACCATATGAAAGATTATAATGTATACCATTTCGTACCATATGGAAGATTATAATGTATACCATTTCGTACCATATTGAAGATTATAATGTTTACCATTTCGTACCATATGGGAGATTATAATGTATACCATTTCGTACCATATATATGGAAGATTATAATGTTTACCATTTCGTACTATTGTATGCTATTTTTATATGTATTCATAATTCAGTACTGAAGGTACATTGTAGGTTTTCCTATGTTTATTGCCTTCCATTTGATACAGTGTGTGTACAGGAAATTTCTTGATTCATGGAGATGAGAAAAGAACCTGAATTTAGTTAAAACTTTTGATACCCTGTTTTTTGTCATATGATTGATTAGACGTAATTACTGTCCCAATGGTGTATACATCACATGTTCTTTTATTCGTTTATTTCATGAATATCAATTAAAAAAAAGAAAACAGATATTACATTTATTTTAATATTTGTTTATGTACATGTATACATAACAATAACAATAGAAAGAACAATAACAAGTTGCACTAAATTGAAACTGGACATGGACTCAACTCAAAATTAAAAAAAAGATAAGTTGTATACACACTTTTTATTAAAGACTAAGTTCCGAGAAAGATATCGATTGGCCTTCAAATTTCTCAAAAATTAAAACCACAAGGAAGTTTTTGATTGGTCACAGAAGGTGCAAATGGTAAAGCATTTTTAACTGGATTTTCGAAGGAAATATCGGTTATTGATTTGGGGATGTACAGCGGGGGGGGCGGACGGATGGCTACCAAATAGTGTCTCTTCAATAACATGAAAATGCTGTGATGATTTTTTTTTCAAATTTAGATATGTTGTTTCTTGTGACTAAATGAAGGTCAAGTTCAATTTTCACGATTTTAGTATTTCTTCTTTTTGAGTTATCGCCATTTTTAATATCCAAAAGTGGTATTTTTAAATATTTTTCTCTTGTTATCATATTATGACTAATTAAGCATATGGTAAATGTCTTATCTCACAATAAAAATTGGAGTGACAGATTTATTTGAAATTTTTCTATTTCCTAAGTGGTGATGATTATAAGCTATATTATTGTCGAGCCTTCGACTTTTGTCGAAAAAGCGAGACATAGCGATCCTACATTCCGTCGGCGTCGTCGTCGGCGGCGGCGGCGGCGTCCACAAATATTCACTCTGTGGTTAAAGTTTTTGAAATTTTAATAACTTTCTTAAACTATCCTGGATTTCTACCAAACTTGGACAGAAGCTTGTTTATGATCATAAGATAATATTCAAAAGTAAATTTTGTAAAAAAAAAATTCCATTTTTTCCGTATTTTACTTATAAATGGACTTAGTTTTTCTGCCAGTTAACATTACATTCACTCTGTGGTTAAAGTTTTTGAAATCTTAATAATTTTCTTAAACTATCCTGGATTTCTACCAAACTTGGAAAGAAGCTTGTTTATGATCATTAGATAGTATCCAGAATTAAATTTTGTAAAAAAAAAATTCCATTTTTTCTGTATTTTACTTATAAATGGACTTAGTTTTTCTGCCAGTTAACATTACATTCACTCTGTGGTTAAAGTTTTTAAAATTTTAACAACTTTCTTAAACTATCCTGGATTTCTACCAAACTTGGAAAGAAGCTTGTTTATGATCAGAAGATAGTATCCAGAAGTAAACTTTGTAAAAAAAAAAATCCATTTTTTCCGTATTTTACTTATAAATGGACTTAGTTTTTCTGCCAGTTGACATTACATTCACTCTGTGGTTAAAGTTTTTAACATTTTAACAACTTTCTTAAGCCATCTTGGATTTGTACCAAACTTGGACAGAAGCTTGTTTATGATTAAAAGTTAGTATCTAGAAGGAAATTTTGTTAAAATTTTGTACCATTTTTTCCGTATTTTACTTATAAATGGACTTAGTTTTTCTTCCAGTTAACATTACATACAGTCTGCAGTTTAAGTTTTTAAAACATTTATTAGATTCATAAACTATCCTGGATTTTTACCAAACTTGGACAGAAGCTACTTACAATCAAAAGATAGTAAAGAGAGGAATTTTTTTATTAATTTTTTTCCTCATTTTTGTTGAGCCTGCGATTAACAGCAAAAGTAGGCGAGACACTGGGTTCCGCGGAACCCTTACGAATTTTTAGACATTTTGGAGTTAATTACATTATTAATTATTATATATGTAATGTTAGAGTACTATGTTAAACCATAGTTCTGTTCAAAGGGAAATAACGCTTCAGATTTGCAAGAATGATTTTCATTATTAATTAGATCTGGGAAATATCTTAGCATAATTATGATAATCATTGGAGTGACAGATTTATTTTTTTCATATGGTACGAAATGGTAAAGCATATTTTCAATCTGTTACGAAATAGTAAATCTATTTTTCCATATGGTACGAAATGGTTTATGTTCATGGTACGAAATGGCAAATTCATAGTACGGAATGGTAGTTTTGGGTACGAAATGGCAATGGTACTAAGTGGTTATGGAACGAAATGACTGGATACCTTATAAACAAGTCACCAGGACAAACTTTTGTATGAAATATTTTTTATCTTTTACAAATGATCGAAAATACTTTTGTTATTTTGAAAATTGTTCCGTAAATGATGAGCGCTGGGTAAAACACTGCATGCTAACTTTTATATATCTAGGCCTTGGTGCTGCCAGGCCATAAATCTTTTCCAGTTGCACCGGATTGTCTGTAAATTTTATGATGTAATATAAACACAGCTATTTTTATGCCCCTGAAAAAAACAGCATTGTTACCCTTTAAACGACCCAACATGAACAATAGACAAACAAGGCAAGAAATATACAGACCTTTGTTTGTTTTACTAATTAAATCCAACTACTGCATTGAGATCTTTTCTCTGAAAATACTGCAGTAAATACATGTATGACAAATTTAAATACCGGTACATTTATACCAGTAAATGAAATAGACAGTGGCGGATCCAGAAATTTTCATAAGGGGGTCCCACTGACTGCCTAAGAGGGGGCCCGCTCCAGTCATGCTTCAGTGATTCCCTATATAATCAACAAAAAATTTCCCACAAAAGGGGGGCCCGGGCCTCCTGAAAAACCCTCTAAATCCGCCTCTGATAGATAGTCACACCTGGAATATTTTGATTGGTAAAGTACAAAAATGAAGTAAAATTGAAAAATTTACATGAAGAAAAATATACCTATTAAAAATTCTCCATACACTTATATGCACATACATGTATGGTATGTGCATATAAGTGCTACTATTAAAAGTCAGAAAAGTCTATCATGCTGTGTCAGTACTTTTCCTGTCGTCTGCTTGTAGCTTTAGTATTGTGTACAGTCATGACAGTATGTACTAAATTTTACCTTTTTTTTACATTTAAAGTTAAATTATTAACTATGTATCATTTTTTATTTCATTAGAGAAAAATGCCATAGAAAAAATATACAATCATGGAAGAGGGAGAAGTAATTTGTGAAGTGATAGAGGAGGAGATAATTTCAATCGAGGATCCCCAGACTGTGGTTGCTGAGGAAGTAATAATATCCATGACAACAGATGATTCACCATATCAAAGTAACCAAACAGAAAGCAGACCAACGGAAGAAATTATTCTTGTACCTCCAAAGTCTAAACGACAACCTGGATACACATTTACACCATTGGAGTTACCCCCTTGTAAAGTGTGCAATGGCAAAGCATCAGGAATCCATTATGGTGTAAACAGTTGTGAAGCTTGTAAGGTATTGATCACATTCAGTTTGAAGAAATGATGGCTGCCAGTACCACACTTTAATGACCAGTATAATTGATCCAATTATTAAGCGCTCCGAGGTTCCTTTGTAATTGCAATTAATGTATCATAGTCATGAAAAAGGAAAAAAAATAAATGATGTTTTAAGGTCTCTGAGATAGGAGAAACAAAACAGGGTATAAGACTGCTGTTAGGAAAGGCTAATCTTAAAATAGATATATATTTCAGGTTATTTTTTATCTGTTTTATTTTATTGGTATGGAAACTAAATGGTCCGAATGTAACTTGAATATTTAGGTTTGGTGCAAATGCATGCAGTTTTTATGAAACAACTTGCTAAAAATTCATGCATTTCATGAAAACACTGTACTACCCTAAAAAGTATGGTACAACATGAAAATGGAACTTTCTCTGTACTTGTTTTGTGCTGGTTTTCAAATCAATGTTTTCAAGAAATAACAGTCTTTGCTTTTTACAATGAAATTTTAAAAAGCCAGTGTCCTTTAAAGCTTGATTCTCTTTTTCAACTTTGCAAACTTGTTGATGTAATTGGTCAGTAACTGCAGTTTTGACAATTTTCAAGAATAAAAATGCTGATACAAGTAACCAATCAGCACTATCAAATTGCCTCATTGACAGCTTTGGTAATCTACATGGATAGGCCTTAAGAAACAATTCCCTGGGTGTCAACAATCAGAGGTAAAAATAGTCTTTTTCCATTATACATTGTATAATTAACATATAAGCAGCATTACATGTACTTTTCATTCTAGAGTTATTTTCATTTTATTATACATGTATATATTTGAAAATTAGATGTACAGTTGTCAACTCTCCAAATATCAGCTGGAACCTCCCAAGAGAGAGGTTAAATCTGCAATTTCAAAAAAGTCTTTAAATTTCTCCTGGCAACAGTAATCATGGTAATAAATTATCCTGAAAATGGTTAGTAATTTTATTGTAAATAGAAAGTCAGTACAACCTTTAACATTCATGCGTTCTTGAATTAACTACTTTGTCTTTAAAAGCTATAAAACAAAAGCAAATAATATATCATCTTGCTACAGATTCCAATATTTTACCTCCATCATTCAAAACATCTATTGTTGTATTCTCTCCCTGGAGGGAAAATACAGGAATTATTTCACCTGTGAAATATCAGTTTTTATTTTGTCTTTGAAATCAAGATGTGCTGACAACATTGGCATTAGCCCATTTGAACATATTTGAAATGTCAGTAGTATATTGAATCTGTTCTATCTTTTACAACAGGGTTTTTTTAGAAGATATTTACAAAGGAAGGAGCCATATAAATGTATGAAGGAGGGTCAATGTGAAATAACAGATAGAAGAAGAGGAAATTGTTCTGCTTGTAGAATGCAGAAATGTGTAATGGTTGGAATGTCTAGAGATGGTAAGATATATCCAGGGGGAGTATGAGAAAACAGATATAATATATCTAGAGAGAGTATGAGAAAAACAGATAGTAGATATCCAGGGGGAGTATGATAAAACAGATATAATATATCAAAGGGGAATATAAGAAAACAGATACAAGATAATCAAATAGAGTATGAAAAAACATACATAAGATATCCAGGTTGAATATGAGAATATATCCAGGGGAAGTATGAGAAAACATATTTTAGATATCCAGGGAAGTATGAGAAAACAGACATACAATATCCAAAGAGTGTATGAGAAAACATATATAAGATATCAACGGGAAAATAAGAAAACATTTAGATATCTATCAGGGGTAAGAGAAAACAGATAGAAAAATATCCATGGGGAACTTATTTAGATATCCAGGTGAGTATGATAAAACAACTTTAAAATATTCAGGAGAGATTCAGAAAAGAGATATACATTTGTAAGATATCCAGAGGGGATGTGAGAAAACAGATATAAGATATCTAAGGGGTATGAGTAAATAGATATAAAATATTCAGTGGGAGTATAAGAAAAAATATGTTAAATATACAGAGCGAGTAAGAGTTAACTTATACACAAAACTGTTCAATTAAAAGGTACCATAAATTCAGAAAGTAGTGTGTGAGATTATACTTGCGACTTTTGAAGGATGGACACAAATGCAAGATTAATTATTGAGGAAAATCTGCATACAGGTATATGTGTCAGATATCAGAATGCCGTTTCTTATTATTGCAATACTCATTCATTGGCAATATTTGCTTTTAAAAACCTCACAATAATTGCTGAATTTACATTAGATATTTAAACTGTATATTATTGCTACTCAGTCGAATTTTACACTTTTTTGTAAATTCAAAATGTACCAGGGAAGCAAGAAAACAAAGAAAAATGGGTACATATACCATATTTAGTGTTAATTTCTTGAAACCTATTAATATGATAATGTCCTCAATAAAAGTTGATAATTATAATTGAAATGTTTATAGTTATCATCAAAGTTGAATTTTTATATATATTATACATTTAAATTTCCTTACAGAATATTTTAAAAATGTCTGTCGTACATAATCATTCATTTTTAGTGTCTATCGACTTTAAAGCTAGGAATCCTGTACCGGTGCATGTATGTTATATGAATCTGATTCTTCAAAAAACTATATCCCAAGCAAGGAGCTTTAATAGTTGTCTAGGCTAATCATTTCTCATCTTAATATCTTTATTCACATCTATTTTCAGCTGTTCGTCAGGGAAGATATACCTTGACAGAAAGGACAAAAACTATAATGGAAGTTAGAGAAATTCATGAACGCAGCATGTTATCTGCTGGTTTGGACATTCTAGCAGAAGCTGCAAGTCAGAATAGAGCTGCTCTTATTTGTGAATCTCCAGGTTCATGTAATACTGAAAAAAACAATAACAATCATGGCGCCGATGAGACAAGTACTGCTGTATCCAACATTGACGCATCTAGTACTGGTCCAGTCACTGGCGATACCGATCACTCATATATAAATAGCAGTGAACGCGGTCAGTGTGACTCATTTGAAAATATAGTGACTAGTGGAGGTAGCAATCCTCAGAAAGATATACTTACTCCTACAGATGGAAAACCTTTCATTGGAATCGATTTCTTCGGGTGTGGACAACGACAGAAATCGTTATTTGATGCAAAGATTGATCTTCCACGGCAGTGTTGGCCTCAGGTTTTAAGTAACTTAGTTTCAGCTATGACTAACTTAACTCCTTTGCAGGCTAAAAGTAAAGAAGAAATACAGGCAATATTACAGGAAGGGCAGGTAACTACAATATAGGATTGATTGGTGTTTAAAGCCACTTTCAGCACTATTGTGCTATTTCTTGGCGGTCATTTTTTATTGGTGGAGGAAGCCGGAGTGGCAAGAGAGAACCACCAACCTTCGGTAGGAAAACTGAAATCCTAGTCAATTAAGATTGGAGTCGAGCGTACCTGCCAGTGTGGGATTCGAACTCACAACCTCAGTGTTGACTGGCTAGTGATACAGTAGTTCGACTACTTAGACCAATTGGCCACTGAGGCCCCTACAATACATGTCTAGGATACTCCTAGAATTATTTCTTAGGTAAAACTGCTGCATAACCTTCTGAGCAATTTGGAGTTGGTGAAATTTTTGCACGATAAATGCGACTTGTACTGGCATTAGAAAACCAGTCTGCTAACCCATTCCTAGTGAATGTCATTGATCCTTATTTTAAATAGAATAGTTTATTCTTATTAGATGTAATTTCCTAATGCTTGTAGAGTAAGACTTTGGTTGGCTTGCTTGTTTTTTTTTGTATAACTGTTTGCTCAAGCATTGTAATTAAGATTGACATCTGCAAACAATATAAATAGGCGGAGTTAAACCTGTATACATTATATTTAGATTCATAACCTCCAGGATAACATCTAATTAAATTTAAGTTACAATGTATACATGTTTAACTCCGCCTATTTATATTGTTTGCAGATGTCAATCTTAATTACAATGATTGAGCAAACATTTATACAAACAAAGTCTCAATCTACAAGCATTAGGAAATTAGCTCTAAACCTTTCTACTTTACAGTTTATAGTCAAATAATATTTCTGCCTTTATGTTATTTATTATGCTCCTAAATATGTCATGTATGTAGTACAAAACAAATTGTATACTGTCTTAATTATATTTCAGCAAAAGTACGAGTTACAGAAGCAGCTATTTGGAACTTTACAATGCCTATCTAATGAGGAACATCAAGCCATTTTTGAAGCTACTGGAATTGACATTGACAACAGGAATAAATTTTTTGAAGATCATAATAAGACTATGACAACTCTGATTTTAGGTTTTATAGACTTTGCTAAAGTTATCCCAGGATTCATGGATCTCCCTGTTTCTGACCAAGCTTCTCTTCTTAAAGGTATTTTAAACTTACATACGTCATGGCAAAATCATAAGTGTTTCAAATTCAGGAGGCCATTGAATTGATTAATGTGCTTAAATAAAAGACAGAAAAGCAAAACAGGTACAAAAACATGATAAAACAAAACGTGTAGAATTGCCACACCAGTTAAAAAAAATAAGCCAAACTGGTTTTCATTTGAATACTCGACAGGTTCAGATTGATAGTTTGCTGAACCCCATCTTCTGTTAGACAGGTGCACTTTTCATGTGCATTGACACATTTTTTTCGTTTTATGTCTTTTTGCTTAGGTGCAAAATCATATTAAATGTAAGAAATAGTACTGGTATCTTTAATGTTTTTATAACTTCATGTCACAAAAATATATACATGTATATACTTGATTCAAGTATAAATAATTTTCATGTTTGAATTGATATACATGTATATTAATTAGGGCCGGGCCCCGCCGAATGTCGACGCCCTATAGTGATCAGTCTGTCCGTCCGTCCTTAACAAATTGTGTCCACTCTATATCTAGAAAACCGTTATGATTTCAAAGTTTATACTTAACATGTATATTAACCAACACCAGAGGGTGTGTCATAATGTATGTACAACTTCCTAGGTCAAGTGTCAAGGTCAAAAACTTTGGTTTTAGTTGACAACCCCATGTCCTATGGTAAAGATCGTGTCCGCTCTATATCTTGAGAACCGTTATGATTTCAAAGTTTATACTTGACATGTATATAAGCCAACACCAGAGGGTGTGTCATAATGTATGTACAACTTCCTAGGTCAAAGGTCAAGGTCAAAAACTTTGGTTTTAGTTGACAACCCCATGTCCTATGGTAAAGATCGTGTCCGCTCTATATCTTGAGAACCGTTATGATTTCAAAGTTTATACTTGACATGTATATAAACCAACACCAGAGGGTGTATCATAATGTATGTACAACTTGGTAGGTCTAAGGTCAAGGTCAAAAACTTTGGTTTTAGTTAACAACCCCATGTCCTATGGTAAAGATCGTGGCCGCTTTATACCTTTAGAACCATTATGATTTCAATGTTTATACTTGACATGTATACAAACCAACACCAGAGGGTGTGTCATAATTTATGTTCAACTTCCTAGGTCAAAGGTCAAGGTCATAAACTTCGGTTTCAATTGACAACCCCATGTCCAATGATAAAGATACAAATTTTTTACCACAAATTATTCACAGGGGGGCCCACAGAGATGGCTCCCATCTCAATGATATCTAGTTACATTTAGTTGTTTTATTTATTGAAATATTCAATGTATCTTTGTCAATCTCTCTGCATTCTAAAGAACCCTTGCAATGATTCTTTGAAGGATCTGTTGCAAGGCAAAATTTCTGTCCCTATCAAGTACCAGTATATCTTCTATTTCTAGTGGCAGTCAAAATTATTTCCCTTCACCACAGTTGACCAACTTTGCAGTGCAGATTTTTTAATGTTTTCGTTTTCACCTGTTATTGTGAAAACTATAATATTTATAGAGAAACTTAATGAACAAAAATGTTCATCTACAAATAAGTCATATGGTTGAAATAGTCACACTACTACTTATAGGAGTTTAATATTGCCTTTAAATGATGGTTTTAATAAATTTTTTGCATTTTTACCTATTATTTTGAAATGAAAAGAAACTTTAATAAGCAAAAATGAGCAGCAAGACAAGATCTACAAATAAGTCAACATGGCCTAATTCTTTAGACTATTTCTTATAGGAATTTTTGCCCTTAAATGACCAGTTTATTTATGATTTTTTGTGCTTTGGGCAAAATCAAAAACAATAGAAATGATCATCAATACAGAATCAACAAATAGGCCAACTAAGCCAAAATTGTCAGTCCACTTCTTAAAGGAGTTTTTAGCCTAGAATGATGATTTTCAGTCAATTTTCTGTTTTTGGCAAACCTATCCCAGATAGAGAGAAACTAGACAGAAAAATATGACCAGGAATTCAAGATCAAGAAAAAAGGGATTTAAGCCATAAATTTTACCATAGTCTCACAGTGCATAGTCTACAATGTTGGAAAGTGGCCATTGTGGAAGATGCACTCATATCCAGGTGAGCGACTCAGGCTCATTAGGGCATCTAGTTTATGAACCCTGCTAGATATTTTTTTGATATTTATTCTTTATATTTCAGAATCTCGTTTTGAATTTTTCATGATCAGTAGTCATGAAGCGTTTGACCCAAATACTGAAATAATGATGACATACAAAGGTGAAACTTATCACATGACCCAGTTTTGTGGATTTCTAAACAATGCTAACTTCAGGAACTGGCTCCAATTTACTCGGAAAATAAAACATTTTGATTTTACTCAGATGGAAAAAGCATTAGTCCTTGGAATCACACTCACATTTAGAGGTAAGACTTCTACGTAATTTTTAATGCTGAGGTATATTGAAGTCTCCACCATATTAATAGTCTATTTGCCAATCAGGTAATTGACCCTGTAATTTGAGACCCATTTGTACCAGTTGTTTCCCTTAGGAGTGTCAGAAATTTTCATTGACAATGAAGAGCTAACGGAAAGACCAAACTTATCTGTGTCTATTGTTTAAAATTTTCAAATCTTTTAATTTCAGTTAACCTTTTGTAAAGCTAAAAAGTTTTGATGTTAATAGATATTTCTGATTAAAAATTAGTAAACACACACCTATATATACATTTATCACTTTAAATTTATCATGCTTCGCATGACCAGAAGCCCATTTTGTCTGGTTTGAAACCAGTCAACAATTAGCAAAGGGAAACAACTTGTGTTCAAACATTTTGATAAAATCAATCAAATGGGTTGGCAATTAGACTATTGATGGCAAGGTATATAGAAAATAATCTTAAAAGTTAGAAATTATTATACAAACTACCCAACAAAAACTTTATGTCTATCTAGGAATGGCTTTTTATGAGCTCACCTTTCCGAAGGAAATGTGAGCTTTTGCCATCACTAGGCGTCCGTTGTTGTCTGTCATCGTCCGTCTGGTGTAAACTATTTCAAACGTCTTCTCCTCTGAAACTACTGAACCAATTCCAACCAAACTTAAGCTGAATGATCGTTAGGGTATCTAGAATAAAGCTTGTGTTTTATTTTCTGTTTCGTCAAAAAACATGGCCGCCATGGCTAAAATAGAACATAGTGGTAAAATGCAGTTTTTGGCTTATATCTCAAAAACTAAAGCATTTAGAGCAAATCTGACAAGGGGTAAAAGTGTTCAATAGGTAAAGTTCTATCAGCCCTGATATTTTCAGATGAATCTAACAACTCATTGTTGGGTTTGCTGCCACTAAATTGGTAATTTTAAGGAAATTTTGAAGTTTTTTTGGTTATTATCTTGAATATTATTATAGATAAAGATAAACTGTAAACAGCAAAAAATGTTCAGCAAAGTAAGATCTACAAATAAGTTTATGTGACCAAAATTGTCAATTGACCCCTTAAGGAGTCAAGGTTGGGCGGTAAATACCACGCCTGGTATTTACCAGTGGTATTTACCGGTATTTACCGCCCCGGTCAATACTCCTCAAGTGGTCAATACTGGCAAATACTGGACAATTGAAATTTTCATGGTTCTTTTGACAGATTTTACTATCAATGTTAGTTAAATCTTAGTTGATAGAGGAAATTATTTTAACTTTATTCATATGGCATGATTCAGTTTATAAAAAGGATTGATATTGGTATGTTTTATCAACTATTAGCATGAATAATGACGTATTGATCAGTTCTTATGGGTAATGATATAACATAGTTTATAAGGAATGGATATAAAATTGCTATATCACAGTGTTCTCCCCAGATATTTCATATAGCATCTTGGTAAACAGGGAAATTTGAAATACCATCTTGTTTCTAAAAATTATAGCATCACATCCATAACACAACGCATAAGAAAATCACATTCAAGAAATATACCATCACATTACCATGATGCTAAAAGGCCCTGGGGAGAACACTGATATCAGTTATTTCAACATGTATAAAATATATATATATTTTTTTTTCTTGACAAGGTTTGATTTTAACAGGTAAATAGAATTACAGGTGACTAGATTATCAGGGCATTACCTTTTATATGGCAAGCAGGTGTCAAAAGTTTATTCAATATTACAACTGTCCCTTAATAAATGTTGACATAACAGGAAAAAAGTCATAAAAGTTATTTTTGAAGACTGTTTAAAACAATTATTTTATTCCTGACTATTCAACTGCATGATAAATATCTTCTAAAACTAAATACAGAAAATGGAAATTTTGAAGGATCTATACTTTGGCTGCTGTTTTTCTTTTTCTTTAATTTTATTCTAATAATCACTGTCCATGATGTGTTCATGTAAAATTTCAATTTATATAAGAAAAGATATCATTAAAAAAGTCTAATTTTGAAATGAAAACTTTCATATTTTCATGACTAACAGTTATTGAATGTAGGGCTTAATATCACAGGACAGAAAGTCACAATGCAATTTTGAAAGAACTGTTCCTTTGATTAAGAAAAGACTAATTTTTAAGACATTGTTTTATTACATTTGATGAAATTACTGTTAAGAAAACAAGCTGTCATAGTCTTTTTCTTGACTGGCTTCATGGTACCAAGAAATATCCTTTGTAGGATTAATATTTAATAAATCTTCATTTAACCATGTTCATTATCAATCTCATAAACATTACAATGAATTCATTTCAAGGATTTTCCCTTACATATTCAAAAAATTGTTAACTAATTAATTGTGACTTTTTGTCCTTTACAATGTAGTAAATAAGTGACTTTCTGTCCTGTTAATATATTTGTCCATTTACCATGTAGTTGACCAGGTAGGGACTGTATTTAATAGTAATATCTTATCAAAATTTCAATTGACCAGTATTTGCCAGTATTTCCCCGTATTTACCGGTATTTACCGCCGGCCTGGTCAATACTAGTATTGACCGCTTTTTTGCCAACCTTGTAAGGAGTTAGTTATTGCCTTTTAAGGACAATTTTACACAATTTGTTTATCATGTTTTCTAACTTTAAAAAATCTTCTCCTTTGAAACTACTGAACCAAATTAAACCAAACTTTAGCTGAATGATTCTTAGGTTATTTAGAATAAAGTTTGTTTTTTATTTTCTGTTTCCTCAGAAAACATGATTGCCATGGCTAAAAATAGAACATAGGTTAAAATGCAGTTTTTATATCTCAAAAAAAGGAAATCAGGCAAGAAGTTAAAGTATTCATTAGGTCAAGGTCTACCTGCTCTGAAAGAAAATATGACAGATACAAAGAACATTTAAATGGCATTTTTAAGCCACTTATTAATATATATTGAAAAGCAAAAATAATCATTGATCAAAGATTTAAGCAAAAAATTACAGGTGAGCGATTCAGGCTCTTGAGAGCCTCTTGTTTATACTGCACACATTTGCTGTTAAGGAATACAACTATAAAAAATTTAAGATAGTGACCATCAAGAGATCATTTAAGTTATAACAAAACAGATGATATCCAAGAAAAAAGTAAAATGACATCTAGTTTAGATATACCATTGAAAGTTCCTTTTCTGCAAACATATCTGGTTATACTTGTGATGTTGTGACTTGTTTCCACAGTAAGTTCAAACCATTCCTACAGTCAATTGTTCTATCAAGCTCATGTTGTTTGATAGAATGTTTGTCTGTCAATTACTAATATGGACACAAGAATCTTGTTAAAATAACAAAGTTCATCATCAATTAAATTTTAAATATTTAAAATGCTCAGCAAGTCTTCCATATTAAATCTGAAAATTTAACTGTCGGAAGTGGATAAAAATCTTATTAGGGAGCTACCATTTGATTTTTAGAGGGGGGGGGGGGGGGGGGGGGGGGGCTAGGATAAAATTTGAAAAAAAAGGCAGGACAGGAGTTCTGAGTTAAAAAAAAAAAAAACAGGATGAGACACTTTGCCAAAAAATAAGGCAGGATGACAATTTATGTAAAAAAAGTCAGGATAAACTAATAAAAAAAAAAGGCAGGACCGAATAGAGTGAAAATAAATGGGAGGATAGAGATTACCACTAAAAAAAATGTAGGACAAAATTTTTCATCCAAGCCCCCCATAAAAATCAAATGGTAGCTTCCTTACACTCGATGCAATGGTAGAATCTGTATTTCTCTAATTTTTGTGCTATTTTCACATTTCTTGATCGGTGTGAAAAAATATTTCTCCTCACTAGTGAAATATCTGTTCTTGGCAAATGATTGGTCGAAATTTAATTATGACGTCAAATTTTCTTGGTTTCTTCTGAATTTCCTATTGTGACATCATGAAAAAAGGCAACCATGTCTGATGACGTTACATATAAAGAACACAACTTTCTGTAAATCTTTGAAAAGGAAGGATAAAAATCATTAGAGAAACAGAATTCACCACTATAACTTATGTATTACGATACTTCTCCACTCTCAACAGTTAAATTTTAATTATTCAAAAAGCTCGGCAAGCCTCGCGCTTTAAATATTAAAATTTAACTGTCTTAGTGGAGAAATATCGTAACACACTTGTTGCAGTGGTGGAATCTATATTTATATATCAAATGAATATTCAGAAGACACAAGGTAAAGCAAGACATGGGTACATTTTCCGACAGATTAACAATACAAAATCTGAATTTTACATGTTTATTATATTTAATTTTATTTGTCTCAAAGAAAAAAAATCATTTTTTAAAATGAACTTTTTGTATACAACAAGTGATAAAAAATTACAGGACATTGGAGGTTTCAGAATAAATTGGCAAGTGTGTATCAATTCAATAAGGATTTGATTTAATATAAGGTATACAGTGAAAGAAAGGGGATATCCATTCTATATTTATTCAGTGCATACAAGCTGTCATTAAAATGATATAAAAAAGCGGCACTTGTACTAAAATTAACAAAGATTTTAATTTTCCTGTAGATCGAGCTCACTTGGAAAATCCTGATAAAGTTGAGGAGATCCAGCTGTGGCTCATAGAACAGTTAATGATCTGTTTCAAATTGCATCATGGGAAACGCTGCCAGGAATACTTCAGAAAATTAATTGACATGTTTATAGAGTTTAGAAACATCACAGAAGAATTTTTACAGACTCACAAGAAATGGAAAAATGATCCCATCATGAGGACCAGAATTCCAGCTTTAGGATTCTTCCTGTTTGAAGATGATTGATGATATTGTTGTTTATAATTGTTGCATTTTTCACTTTTGTTATAGAAACTTTTTTCTCCCATTGTTGGCTTAAAAGGACCATTTTTGTCCGTCCATTAAAAATATGTCAGACATAATGTATGAGCAGCTTGTCATGACTGTGGCTGGATGCTTTGATTTCTCGTTAAATGATATTGTTAGAGAATGTGTACTTTATAGTAATATGAGTTATTGCCCTTTGCTTGAATAAGGTTTTATCATAACTTAATTTTTGTTTGTTACCATAATATTTTGAATATCCAAACAGACAATACAAATAATGTTTTGAGGCAGCCAATCATGTTTTTAATATTGGCCATGCCAAATCAAAGTTTTTATGAATAATATTTTAAAGGAGGATTTTCAGTATACTATATTCTTTAGGGGGTTTGTTCTTTGTTTTTATTTCTATAGGGTGACTTTTGTCTCAGACGTCTATCTCTGCAAACTTGTCTTGTTTGATTGATGTCTCATTGTCAATGTGTTCTTTTGTTCATAAAATTTGATAAAAGACTAAAGTTGAAGATAATGAAATAGTCCTTGAAGTTTATTTTGAATGATAAAGTTTAACCATGTCTTTTAATGATATTAGTTCCCTTTGCAAATTTGCATAAATTACTTTTCAACTGAAGCATTCATAAAAAACTTTTGAATTTTGAATTATGTTTTTACTATTTTGTCTAGTTTTAAATTTTCAGGATATTTTGGTTTTTTTTTTTGTCTCATTTGCCTTTAGTTGATTTCTTTCAAGTTCTGTCTGTATCATTAAAGTATTGACTTGTTGGATAGTGATGGAATTCCGTCAACTGAGTAGAATTGTGTTACAAAGAGGTCAAAGTTAACTTCAGACACAAATCTGAACGATGATTCCCTGAAGGATAAAACAAAATTAAATTTTCCTTTTTGAGTTCTGAATATACACCCATTATATTAGATATTGAAAAGTTATGTTACTTAGGTAAATTATGATAGACTTCAGTTATATAACACTTAAGGACAGTAAACATTAACATTTGGGTGTGCAGACTGCAACTTTCCTTATTAATTGGGGATAACTCCCATGAGGGATACTGCCCTGGCAATTATATAATTAAATACCCAATAATGACAATCAAAGGAGTGTTAAAAATACATTCAAGTTTATATTAACATACTAAAAACCATAAAGTATTAGTGAGATTAAAAACACCTCTGACATGTATAAGAGATGCATTAGACCCTCTTGTACTTAAATACCCCATGGAGATTAAATTTCCTAACTAGATTTTATTTCCCCTTCACCCTTCCATGAATTAAATATGTAAATTAAAGGTCGGTTCAATTAAAATAAAATGATCCAAAATTGTTGTTGTTTGTATCAAAGAAAATCCAGTTTTAATCAAATTATTTAGTAGAATGTCATTGTTGTTGTAAATTTTTTAAGTAGCTATGTTAGCTAAGGATATTTTATAAATCATATTGAATTTAAATTTTTTCCAACTTCGTGTTCATTTAATCAACTTGTGGTTCAAATGTTCTCATGTTTATCAGTCAAAATTCGGTTATAATGTCAATTGGCTATTCTTATATTTTCACATAATGATGGCATGGAAAAAAAAACCCACATACATAGATGTCATACTGAATGACAAACCATACTGTTTAACATTGTAAAATGTAATTGTCCTTATTGGAGAATGATACCCCATGCAATGCAGTGGTAGTAACTATATTTACTTTTAAAACTATAATATTTAGCTAAAACCTTTATCAATAAAAGTGTGATGTCTCAGACTGTTAAATGTAAATACTTATTTGATGTAGATTTTTTAAACCGACTGTATACTCCTCTTTAGTTTATTTACTTGTTACTGCTTTATAGAAATGTATGAATTCATGTTAATAAGTTTCACACAAATTCTATATGAATTGTAATCTTAATAGTTACATAAATTATAATTTATCTATACAATTCTGGAAATGAAAGTGCAGAATGTCTGATTTAGAATAGCTAGACTCTTGTGATTTTATTTTACATTATTTTACCTGTCAGAGTAACTAACTGTGCAATAATTGATTTAAACTCGGAAATGAGTATTGTATTTATAGATACTTTAATAAATGTTTAGAGAGAATAAATCATTCGCTTAAACATTTCTGAATAAATGATTAGTTTTGGGTGAACATATGGATTAAAATGATATAACTCCAACTATAGTCAAGCTTTTTTGGCATTACATCAGTACTTTTAGAGACAGGTTTTCCCGTCTTTAGCCTTCAAGTCCAAATTTGATATTGACCTTCTAAATATCTTAAAAACATATAGTAACATATCTACAATTTGGGCATGCAACATCCATTCATTTTTAACTTGAAATAAATCTCTGTCATACATTATAAACAGATTTTCAGTATCAAATGTTAAATATTTGAAATAATACATGCCTGATTTCATGTGAAGCGTGCAGTGTCAATTATTTTTTCTTGCATGTTCCTATTACAGGAATTCATGATTAGCAATTGGAAGAAAATTAAGTGTTAATGGATGTTTCTCAATGAACAATTAAAATGTCCTCACATTGTATTGAATGTTTTTAAATATTGTAAAATTCAGAAGAAGGGTAATATTGTGTCTTCTATGAATTACTAATAAATTAGATAGTCAGAAAGGTATTAGTTTGGATATTTTAACTTAAGTATCAAGAACTATGTTAAATGTCTTTAGAAGAAGTGATATTCAGGGAATATTTGGTATTATATGTATTAATTTGTTAAACAAAGAATCTCAAAATGTTAATATGATATAATTCATGTAATAAAGGTTGTTCCAGACAAAAGTACACTGGGGTCTTTGAAGGTTGTTTTTTTAGAAGCCCCATGTTATGCTTATATACTTTCTAGACCAATGACTCATTAAAGTTTATATGCAAGAACTTTCAAAGACCCGAGATATTTTTACTGGCAGCCCAAACGTATATGTATGTTAGTTTGTAAATATTTTTAAAAAAAATAGTGCTGTATTGGCCCTTTCAAAATAAATGTTCTGTTTTCAGACCTTTTTGTCGAGCCTTCGACTTTAGTCGAAAAAGCGAGACATAGCGATCCTACATTCCGTCGGCGTCGGCGTCGTCGTCGTCGTTGTCGTCGGCGGCGTCCACAAATATTCACTCTGTGGTTAAAGTTTTTGAAATTTTAATAACTTTCTTAAACTATCCTGGATTTCTACCAAACTTGGACAGAAGCTTGTTTATGATCATAAGATAGTATCCAGAAGTAAATTTTGTAAAAATAAAATTCCATTTTTTCTGTATTTTACTTATAAATGGACTTAGTTTTTCTGCCGGTAAATATTACATTCACTCTGTGGTTAAAGTTTTTAAAATTTTAATAACTTTCTTAAACTATCCTGGGTTTGTACCAAACTTGGACAGAAGCTTGTTTATGATCATAAGATAGTATCTAGAAGTAAATTTTATAAAAAAATAAATCCATTTTTTCCTTATTTTACTTTTAAATGGACTTAGATTTTCTGCCAGGAAACAACACATTCACTCTGTGGTTAAAGTTTTTAAAATTTTAATAACTTTCTTATACTATTTTGGATTTGTACCAAACTTGGACAGAAGCTTGTTTATGATCAAATGCTAGTATCTAGAAGGAAATTTTGTTTTCTTTCAGTTAACATTACATTCAGTCTGCAGTTAAAGTTTTAAAACATTTATTAGATTCATAAACTATCCTGGAATTTTACCAAACTTGGACAGAAGCTTCTTACAATCAAAAGATAGTATTAAGAGGAATATTTTTATTGATTTACTTCCTCATTTTTGTTGAGCCTGCGATTAACAGAAAAAGTAGGCGAGACACTGGGTTCCGCGGAACCCTTAAGAATTTTTTATTTTCAAATTCTTGTGATTTGGTAGTTATGATAACTTCCCCTTTTATAGACGTATTTACACTTGTATGCAAATTTGTCCGCCATTACGTAAAATCACACAGGTTCCTGTAAACTTTGACATCATAATTCAAAACATTTGACGTCACAATTAAAAAGTGATTGTTGCCTGAAGTCAAAAGGTGATTCGGAGTAGATCTAAGGTCATTCGGAGGCAAAATTTAGCTAAATACCAAAAGTGTAAATACGTTTATCAAATCAGATTAATGGTGTGTTTTACAACAATAGTTTAATAAATATTTTGAATTTACATTGAAATTGATATTTGACATTTTCATACTTCTTAACATGATAACCTGGAAAAAAATTATTTAAAAATAGAATACAATAATTTGGTGCCTCAATAATTAAGTACCTGCCCTTATGTCATATTCTCTGTTACTTAAGTTCTTAGTGCTCAGCTCAGTTTCTAATTGTAACGAGTAGTCGGTCAACTTATCCATAGAATCACTGTATGTACATGTTCCTCTAATAGGGGTAACTTGACCTTGACCTCATTATTCATGGTTCAAAATTCAATGGTTCTCACCTACCTTGAATGTTAGCCAACCTATATGGTCTATAGAACCAATATAAGATTGTTCTTGTGTTTTGTTAACTATTACACTGTTATTCTAAAGTTAAGTACTTTTCCTGTACTGATTTATATTGTATGATTTTTTAATGTTAATTTTCATAGTCCAGTTATTGATATTAAAAGGGGGTTGAGATCTCAAAAACTAGTGTAACCCCAAAACATATTCATGAGCCCCTCCCAAGTCAGGAACCTCATCAGTGGTTGTCTTATGTCATGTGTTTGTTATCAGGAGAATTTGGTGTTGAAGGCAGATCTTTGATCATTTCTGTTATTCACAACTTTTACAAAAAATCTTACGACAAAAAATGATCGTGAGTTATACTGAAATGTTCATGACTTAGGAGTAATTTTTCTCTTAAGATTTTTTGTGAAATTGATCACTGGTGATGATTGCCAGCTTGACATATTGAATAGACATCTGTCTATCTATTGTTGAAGTGTTTATATTGCCCTCTTTATATCTTTTTAGGTATTTTTGTGCTTTTGTTGCTGTCTCATTGACATTTATCCCACATCTCTTTATATTCATGTCTTTGTGTTGGATAAACTGACCTTGAACTTACTTATGGTTCATTGATAAAGGTGAAATTTCTTAATATAAGACTTGTATTCAGTCATAATAAATTAAAAAGGCAAGAATTTTCAGTCTTGTTATCTTAGAATACATAATGTTACAGTCTTGTCAACAGAACATTGATTTGAATGGCCTGAAAGTTTAATCTTTAGTATGTAATAATGATTAATGTGTTAATTTTACTTTATGGAAGACAGATTTCATCTTATTATGCATTATGCTGATACATGTTCTATTTTATAAATAGCATCTACAGTCTATGGAAATATATATTAAAGTATTGATGATTTACATTTTATACAATTTGCACCCTAAAAATCAGAATTGTGTACCGTTTCTTTTTCTGATATATGTCATTTCTAAAAGTGTTTTTTTTTTAATAAGATCATGACACAGACATGAACATCTTAACAGAAGTTGAAGATTTATGACCCATTGACATATAAATTTATACCCAATGTTATATTTTCTCTGCGAAATTGCACCCCATTGATATATTTGACATTTAAAAAAGTTACCCGTACCAGCAATACGTCTGTGTATACTGTAAACAGGGAAATTTTCGTGGCAGTTTTATTTTCGCTGTTAGAGTGGAAACGCTAAAATAAAATGTTTGCAAATATTTCAAGGAGAACTAATTCAAAAAATGAAGACCATCTATTAACATATACAAATAACCTAGGATTATGTATACAGGGCCAATTTATAACAACAGTTTTTCAGACGACAGATCTATATCACAAATTAAAAATTTATTTCTTAATGAAAGGCAGTGTTAGAAACCAAAGATTGAAAAATGCACCATTTCTTTTTTGCCAAAAATAAATACTGCTTTTGTGCCAATTTACAGGTAATATAGCGGACACATTTTAATATAAGGTGTATCTTGAATACGAGGCTCGTTTAAGAAATGTTGTAGAGTGTGCCCCCCACCCCCCTTTGTTTAAGTAAGTGAGTTCATACCAATATATAGTGTTCACATTTTTTGAGGTGACAAATAGGACAATACATTAAGGGTTTTTCTCATTGTTGAAGGCCATACAATTGCCTATAATTGCTTACATCCACTTCAATTGAACTTTGGTGGATACTTGTCGCATTGGCAATCATACCACATCTCCTTATTTTTATAACAATTTATTCAGAGAAAAATAGAGGATATCTAATGGATTGAAAAATGGAGATAAATCATATAGATGTACCCCCAAAAAGTTTTAAAGCCAGAATCACCACAGATGTTGACAGCAAAACCATTATAAAAACACTGAATGATACAGTCAACCATGGTTTAGACCAGCAAAAAGTACAACCTCAGCATTTAAAAAACTAATATATACAATCATATTATGCTATCAAAACTAAGTTGTAACATTCTTTTTAGAAGTCTCTTTACAATATAGATCTATTATTTATACTATTTACCTGTATTAATGGCGCAATTGAAATGTATTATTTTGGTGCAAATGAAATATGATTTGTGGTGCAAATGAAGGATTTTTTTGGCGCAAAAGCAAAGAACCAAGTCAAACTGATATGAAATTTATTTTAAGGAACTGGAAATTATTGATATCGTTATATAAACATGAATGAATGAATGATTTTATTCTCATAAACTAGTACATAGCTACAGAGAAAATAACAGTTCATATATAATACATATTGTGTTTCGCATGTGTGAAAATAAATAACAATATAATAATATTACAGTTCCTCTAACCAGGAGGACAGACTTTCAATTATATGTATCGTATAAATCTACACAATTTTTCTAGTTCAACAACATTTTCAAATGAGAATATATGATTAAATTTAATAATGTTAGCATTTTTGTTACAATAATGTGGTAAATATTTTTCTCTTTCTATGTTGAAAAAATTGCATGACATTATGTAGTGAAATTCATCGCCAATATCTGTAGAGCTGCAGAGGTGACAAGACCTTTCCGATCTCGGAATAGTTTGCCACCTTCCCGTCTCCACTGGCAAACGATGATTTCCGCATCTAAATTTACACAAAGTATATAAAAAAAAACATCACTTGTGACAATTAAGTAAATGACACCTTCAACAATTTTTTAATTGAATAACCAAATTTAATCTGCTACACTTATTAATATGATCAAAAGATTGATTAATTAGCCATAATCCTCGCAGCTTCTAATTTGATCTTACTAATTTGAAAGCATTCTTTTATGTTAATAGTGAATGTTACAAGTAAACATAAATGTAGGGGTTTACTTTTACTTTATATAATTCACTTCACAAATATCTTGAAATCTTCATGTGCATCAATGAACCAACGAAAAATGTTCACTTTGTTTAATAGACAAAAAGGTTTTTGATCGACTTTCAGCACTTGCTTTACGATACATGTATGACTGTGCCATTTTAAAATAATTTACTAAATTCTGTACAGCCTTCTACAAATCGAGAATTCAAAACGGCGTGAAATTGAGTTTCAGTTGGTATATCATGAAATAAAGACTGTACAAATTTTCCCGGTTTACAGTACCTTTATATAGGAAGATCCCTCCCCCACTGTGGATCATGAGTTAAATACAAATTTTATTATATGGTTCCTAATACTTAATAGATTAAACTGTTTTGTTAATTGCTACAAATTGAAACATTCTGCATTCAAATTAGCTGAATATTTAATTCATTGAATTTAATATTGTTTATAATATTAGGGAAAAAATTTTGCCAATTTTTTTTAAAAAGAATTGACTGGAATTTTTGATAATTAAAAAGATGTTTGAAATGAAATTAAAACATAAAATAAACAAGAATATGTATTCATATGACACCAAAAGAAACGAAGTAATGGACAGCCTGACAGGAAAACATAATACTCTACAGCTATCATGAAACTGATTTCTACTGTCAGTAAATATATAAATTAAAGAAGTTTTTTAAAAGAATCAAACCTAAAATAATTAGGTTTAAATTTAAAAGATTTTTTGCTTGGGCATTCCATGTAAAAGCAGATCAAGGTTTTAATTTGATAGATATAAATAAGCTGAAACCATCATCCGCTCTGACAAAAACACAGATTATAATTTTTTGTTTTGTTTATTCTTATGAGTTTCCAGAAAATTGAAATATCAACTTTAACTTACAGTAAAGATTTTTTTCATGAAGTTTAAATTTACAAAACATGTGTAAATTAGTGAGGTTTTATTATTACCCTTTCTTATACTTTATAATATTCTTATTGTCCTTAAAGATCTAATTTAGGGGTTAGGGATATGTTCACAATTTTACCTTTTTCGTGAAATAAGGGCTAAATATAAAACCCCTCTCAATAATTTCACTTTAGGAAAATCCTATTTTATTCAATGTAAATTTATTAAGATGATCTTCCTATTGTTATGTATTACTGTAAATTCAGAAATTATTGCGTCCATTTATTATTGCGATTTTGTCATTTTAGACTAAACTGCGATTTAATTTTTGCGGTTTTGAGAAAAATCCTGTTTAATTCATATAAAAAACTTCAAAATGCGAGTTAAAATTATTGCGATTAAAACCCTGTCTCATTTTTCGCAATAATAAAAACATCGCAATAATTTCTGAATTTACAGTACTCAAAATACCTTTATAATAAATCCACTTGACATTCAATATTATATATTTTGATATGTTTTATCACTTCTGTTGCAATATTACTGGTTTATTAAAATATCAGATACAAATCATAGATATTGTGGTACTTTCATTTTAATGTTATTTTACACCCACTGTATGACTGGGAACTGCCTTCAAGTTGTCTGTTTGTTTGTCCAAGATACATTTCTGTCACATTTTTCTAAGATACTAACTAGTAAACAGAATAACTTCATATTTGATAAGCTTGAAAGTGATAAATTGTAACATGTGAGCACTTTTCACATCTACCACCTGATTGTCTATACTTTGAATTTTACAAAATGTTGGGGGGGGGGGGGGGAGAAATCATCACACTTATGTGGCGGAGTAGTCTAAGTAGTCGAACTACTGTATCACTAGCCTGTCAACTCTGAAGTAGTAAGTTGGAATCCAGCACATGGCAGGTGCCCTTGACTCCAATGTTAATTGACCAGGATTGTCAGTGGTTCTCTTTGGGCACTCTCAGGCGGAAACCCAGTTGAAATTAAACAAAAGAAATGGAACTCTTTGTTAATAGAGAAGGAAAAAAAAGCCAAGTTGGTAAATTTGAATTGTTTACATCTGTTTCTATGGGCTTTAAAAGTTTAATGAAAGTGCCTAATTTAGGATTGTATGCCTCTAATGTATGAGTTTTTAGTAAAAACTTTTTACTTAAATTATGGTATGGAGCTTTGAGATATTTGTAAACTTTTGAATTATAGACAAATTTTCACAAAACAGTCGATTGTGGTAGGTGCAAATACATGTGGATCTTTTTTTGCATAAGCATAAATTCCGCCAAAAAAAATTCCAAGGCGACAGTTTTTTGGCAAAAAATCCCCAAAATGGGCAATAATTTTATCGAAAAGAGAAAGTCGAGTACACCTTTATATGTTTAGGCGTGTTTGAGTTGACTATTCTGTCTTGAAAACGTATAAAAGAAAAATATTTGATACATCATCTCGCTTCAGATTCTATTATTTTTATATATTTAGGCTCTAGGTTGATATAATAACATTAAAAATTTACAGTACTATAAAATGAAATATATGGGTCAAATGAAATACCTTTCTAATGAGTCATAACAACAGAGAAGATGTGTTCGAATAACAAAATTTTGCTAAAAGTACTTGACGACAGACTTTTCAAGTGGATCTTAAAAATGCATAACATGTTTTTGGTGTGTTATCTAGGGTAATGAGTCTTCAACATCTGAAAATTTTTAGTCTGCCCTTCCACGAAATATTTAATTAGAATTTTTTTAAATATTTTGAGCTTTCGAAAAATTCCCCCTGACAACCGATCAGATAATAGTTTTATGTTGACCAAATGCATAAAAGTACATTAAATGATTCTAAATAGCTAGTGGATACATTTGTCTTTTAAAGTACAACTGGCATATAAGGATCATAGTGATGCTATGTGGATAAATTTATTGGTTTTCAAGAGCGAAATTGACAGCGCATCATCACTGCAATGGCTTCCATTTTTACGATTATTAAAATAAGATGGCGAAATGAGGAGATAATTTTGACGAAGTAGAATCCTGACTGTCTGGCTTCCTCCACCTATAAAAACTGACCACCACGAAAATCAACCAATCAATCATCTTTAGTCTACAGCTTGGCAGTAATGAGTTGTAACATGTGAACTTTATTTCTCATATTTCAGACACCCACTTTCTGTTTTCCAAAACTTTAAATTACAAGTAGGGGTATGATTAGAACAAATACACATGCAATCTTGTTTATTTTACATTTTATTTCTGGAAAAAGACAGCTGTTCTTCTTAGATGAATTGTGACAAGTCATAATACATGTAATTGATGATAATTGTAGATGTCTCATGGTTTTTGTGTCATATTGGGTTGCTGTTTCATTGATGTAATTCCTATATTTTCTTATATTCATAGTAGGAAGGAATGTCTTGTGTGTTGGATAATAGCATAATTTGACAAATTCTATTCATTTGTGAACATTTTAACATATATGCAAATAACACTTTGCACTCTATCCTCGGTGAAAGAAAAAAAGGATAATACATAAGAGTTTATAAGGTTTTAACTTTCTTGATATTCATGAAAGAGTGGATGGGGGGTCCTTTATTTCTTTCTTCTTTAATTTTTTAGACCATTTTTCTCTTTTCTTTATTTATTTTACCCATTATTCTTTTATTCTCTATCCTTTATTCTTTCCCTTTATTCTGTACTTTTTGTCGACTATTCTCTATTCTGTAAACCCCATACAGACCCCCATGAAATAAAACATGCACAAATTACTGTTAAAAATGCAAAAGGAATCGATTAAGAATAACTATTATTAAAAAGGTTATGGAGTAGGTTATGAAAAAATTGATGCAGACGGTAAAAGATTTAGTTTTTAGAATATAAATAAAGTTTACTATAAATTATTTCTAAAAATAAAATCAAAGATAGAACATTCCCACCAAAACCATGATATAAAGATTAACCCATTGAATAAATAAAATAACATACAATTAAATTAAGATTCATTCATAGCAATATTAAATATGTTTATTTGTTCATGTAATAGTATTTCAGCTGAGTCAATAAAACTTGTACTTTGTAAGTATGCACATTTTAGTGTCTTCCTTTGTTAAAAGAATTTTTTTTTTCTCATAAAAATGAGAAGATATTATTCCTATTGTTAAAAAAAATATAAGGGACAGGAAAGTGTAGTTTTCGTTCAAAAATTAATTTATTTAATTAAAACAATATTTTCTTATATTCATTTGTGTCTAATATGAATAAAAATCTGTGCTTTTTCAAAATGGCATGTAAAAATGGATATGAGCAAAGCCTGTCTGAATTTAAAAATGGTAGAATTGTAATGTTAAAATAATGTTTCCATAAAGATATGAATAGCATTAATGGTAAACTCATCACCATGTCTGGATTCAATTGTGAGTAATATATTTTTTGACGAGTATCAATTGTTAACAAAATTTGAAATGGAATTTGTTATTGAATTTTCCTTTGTTTATTTACCTGAATTTCAATAAAAGTTTTATGTCATATTGTGTTGATATTGAATCCAGAGCCAAGTTTTTCTTGATTAAGTAAAAATCATGGTTTTCTTGTTTAAATTGTATTACATTTTGTCATGTCCAACCCTTTAATTGCTTACTATAGGGTATGGGTTTTGCTCATTGTTGAAGGCTGTACCTAGACCTATAGTTGCTTACTATATCGTATGGGTTTTGCTCATTGTTGAAGGCTGTACCTAGACCTATAGTTGCTTACTATAGGGTATTGGTTTTGCTCATTGTTAAAGGCTGTACCTAGACCTATAGTTGCTTACTATAGCGTATGGGTTTTGCTCATTGTTGAAGGCTGTACCTAGACCTATAGTTGCTTACTATGGGGTATGGGTTTTGCTCATTGTTGAAGGCTGTACCTAGACCTAAAGTTGCTTACTATAGGGTATGGGTTTTGCTCATTGTTGAAGGCTGTACCTAGACCTATAGTTGCTTACTATAGCGTATGGGTTTTGCTCATTGTTGAAGCTGTACCTAGACCTATAGTTGCTTACTATGGGGTATGGGTTTTGCTCATTGTTGAAGGCTGTACCTAGACCTATAGTTGCTTACTATAGGGTACGGGTTTTGCTCATTGTTGAAGGCTGTACCTAGACCTATAATTGCTTGTTATAGGGTGTTTTTTTACGACAGCAATTTTTTTTTGGGATCGTATAATGGTATGACGTAATCTACGTCTGCGTCGTCGTCCGAAGACACATTGGTTTCCGGACAATAACTTTAGTTTAAGTGAATGGATCTTTATGAAATTTTTAGTTCACCGGGGCCCCATGTGAGCTTATGCCATCACTTGGCATCCGTCGTCTGTCGTCCCTTGTCGTAAACTATTTCAAAAATCTTCTCCTCTAAAACTACTGGGCCAAATACCTTCAAACTTTAACTAAATGTTCCTTAGGGTATCTAGTTTATAAATTGTATCCGAAGTTTGATCCATGCAGTTTTTGGCTAATATCTCAAAAACTAAAGCTTTTAGAGCAAATCTGACATGGGGGTAAAATTGTTCAATTGGTCAAGATCTATCAGCTCTGAAGTTTAATGTTAGTATTTTGAATATTATTATAAATATATATAAACTGTAAGCAGCAATAATGTTCAGCAAAGTAAGATCTACAAAAAAGTTAATATGACCATAAATGTTAATTGACCCCTTAAGGAGTTATTGCCCTTTAAAGACAATTTTACACAATTTGTTCATCAAGTTTGCTAACATTTAAAAATCTTCTCCTCTGAAACTACTGGGCTAATTACCTTCAAACTTTAAACTAAATATTCCTTAGGGTATCTTGTTTACAAATTGTATCCGAAGTTTGTATCCATCGACAAACATGGCCGCCATGGCTAAAAATAGAACATAAGGGTCAAATGCAGTTTTTGGCTTATATCTCAAAAACTAAATCTTTTTGAGCAAATGTGACAGGGGTAAAATTGTTTAATTGGTCAAGATATATCGGCCCTGAAATTTTCAGATGAATCGAACAACCCATTGTTGGGTTGCTGCCACTGAATTGGTAGTTTTAACAAAATTTTGCAGTTTAATGTTAGTATTTTGAATATTATTATAGATATATATAAACTGTAAGCAGCAATAATGTTCAGCAAAGTAAGATCTACAAAAAAGTTAATATGACCAAAATTGTCAATTGACCCCTTAAGGAGTTATTACCCTTTAAAGACAATTTTACACAATTTGTTCATCAAGTTTGCTAACATCTAAAAATCTTCCCTCTGAAATACAGGTGAGCGATTCAGGCTTTTGAGAGCCTCTTGTTTAAGAAGGTTCAATACCACAAAAGGAAGGTTGGGATTGATTTTGGGGATGATGGTCCCAACTGTTTAGGAAATAGGGGCCAAAAAAAGGGGCCCAAAACAAGCATTTTTCTAGTTTCAGGATAATAACTTGTGTATAAGTATTTCGATTGCTCTGAAATTGTACCACAATGTTTAATACTACAAGTAGAAGGTTGGGATTCATTTTAGGGGTTATGGGGCCAACAGTTTAGGAATTAAGGGCCAAAAAGGGGCCACAAACAAGCATTTTTCTAGTTTCCAGAAAATAACTTGTGTGTAAGTGTATGGATCTCTCTGACATTGTACCACAAGGTTCCATATAACAAAGGGAAGGCTGGGATTGAGTTTGGGGTTAATTGCCCCAAACATGTAAGAATTAGGGGCCAAAAAAGGGCCAAAAACAAGCATTTTTCTAGTTTCCAGACAATAACTTGTGTGTAAATTTATGGATCCCTCTGAAATTGTACTACAAGGTTCCATACTACAAAGGAAAGGCTGTGATTGAGTTTTGGGGTTATTGCTCCAAGGGGGTTTCAAAAAGTGGGGGGGGGGGGATTTTTTTCCCAATTTTTTTTAAAGGATTCATATTTTTTTTTCAAGATTTTCAAAATTTCGAATTTTTGAAAAGTTTCAAGAAGAAATCTTCAATTGCACAGTATTGAGCAATGGATTTATAAGATCTTTGACCACATTTGTTTTGTGTCAAAAACCTATATTATGTCACAAATTTGATTACAATCCAAATTCAGACAGTATCAAGCTTGAATATTGTGTCCAAATTTGCCCCAACTGTTCAGGGTTCGACCTCTGTGGTCGTATCAGGCTGAGCTCAGCGAAGCATTTTATTGCTCATTGTTGAAGGCTGTACCTAGTCCTATAATTGCTTGTTATAGGGTGTTTTTGCTCATTGTTGAAGGCTGTACCTAGACCTATAATTGCTTGTTATAGGGTATGTTTTTGCTCATTGTTGAAGGCTGTACCTAGACCTATAATTGCTTACATCTACATCATTGGGTAATGGTGGATAGTTGCTTAAATCTGTGTAATTTGGACTCTGCTGGATAGTTTTCTCAATGGCAATCATACCACAATTCTTTATTTTATATCATACACCTTATTAGAGGGTAATTTCGTGCATTGAAAATATAATGACTCTCCTAGATATGCAAAAGTAATTGATAAAAATTTAGAAAAAAAACTATTATTTAAAGGGTTATGAAGTAGTTTATGAAAAAAGATTATAAAATTGAAGCAGACATTAAAAAATATTTAGTTTCTAGAATATCAAAAAATATATATATATTTTAATATAATCAAAGTAACAATATGCCTTTTCAAAATGGCATGAAAAAATGGATATGAGCAAAGCTTGTCTGAATTTAAAAATGGTAGAATTGTAATGTTAAAATAATGTTTCCATAAAGATATCGATAGCATTAATGACAAAACTCATCACCATGTCTGGGTTTAATTGTGAGTAAAATATTTCTTGAACAATATCAATTGTTCCCAAAATTTGAAATGGAATTTTTTATTGAATATTCCTTTGTTTATTTACATGAATTTCAATAAAAGTTTTATGTCATATTATGTTGATATTGAATCCAGAGCCAAGTTTAAAAATCATATTTTTTTCGTTTAAATTGTATTACATTTTGTCATTTCAAGGCCTTTTAATGCTTACTATATGCATTATGGGTTTTGCTCATTGTTGAAGGCTGTTTGTAGACCTATGGTTGCTTACATCTACGCCATTTAGTACTGGTGGAAAGTTGCTTAAATCTGTGTAATTTGGACTCTGCTGGATAGTTTTCTCAATGGCAATCATACCACATCTCCTTATTTTATATCATACACCTTATAGCTATGATCAGCAGCTTTACAATGATAAGTTGCACCGTGTGTGCACTTGTCAGATTCTATGAAGTTTCCAATATGTTGAATGGACTTAAAATATTTCGTCATACATTTCTCTACTACTAATGAACAGCATGATTATTTATTTGGTCAGCAGCTCAACCGTGATGAGTTGCAATGTGTGATCACTATTTGGATCATTCAGACACCTAATTCTCTTGAAAATTTCTTACGACTTTGCAATTTTCAAAAATGGTATTTTTGGCAATAAAAAAGTCAAATTGGTTTTATTTTAAATGCTCAAAATTGAAAAATTATCACTGCTGTTTCATTTCGAGAGTTAATTACATGCCCAAAAATGGTGTAAATTCCATTACCAGATTTATATAATTACCAGGTTCATTTTGTCTCACCTGGGACGAAAGTCGCAGTATGCGAGACATAGGGATAACTATCCGCCAGCGGCAGTGGCGGCGATGTAAACTATTTGTAAAAAGCTTTATATTTGAGAAGGTTGAAGAGTTACGAAGTTTGCGTCTGTCATATGTCCATTGTCCTTGACCTCATTTTTGTGGTTCAGCGCCTGCTTGAAAAATATAGTTTTTGGGTAAAATATTGCATGAAATGCAATCAAAACCCTATGGTACTGACTTGATATTTAAATCTTCCAAGGTTAATCACTACCTTTGGTAGTTTAAACAAAATAGTGCAGTGAAGTGATAACTCTCTAGATCCTATCCAGTCAATGTCACACAATTTATTAATGATATGAAATAATTAGATATTCAAGTTACAATATGATGTATATTTGAATTACCATACTTGTCAAGAAAACTTTTCTTTATTGAAAATTACATAAGTAATTCATGGTGTATGAATCTGTTATAAGAATTGGACCAACTACAGGCCAAAGACGAATAGTTCCTTTTAATTAGAATGTATTTTTTCTTAATTTTTTTTCTTTCCCTTCCTCACTCATTTCTTAGATTTTTTTGGATGGAAATGAAAGAAGACAGGTGAAATAAACTTTTGGATGTTGTATTTTAACTGATTTTGATATGGAAAGAGTGATTAGGCCAGGTGCAAAAAGGTGATATTTACAGTTTTCGGAACATCTCTTGACTTGTCCATAGGGGTATGGATGTGTATTGGCTAAATTTGTAAGATGCTGGGGAGCGATATTTCTGAATGTTTGATATATGTTTGGACTAGTACTGTACTTTACACACACAAAATATTTGACAAAAAGAATCGGTACATTTTTTTTAATGAAACAAAACGTTATAAAGAACTAATAGAGAATTTAATTGTGGACTGTGGCCTACAAATGTC